ATATATATATAATATTGCGCTATATATGTCAATTTAGTTTTAAATAAATGTATATTTCTGCATGCATGCATGCATGCATGCACGCATTTCTGCATGCATGCATGCATGCATTTCCGCATGCATGCACTCACTCGAGTGCACGGCGTGCGCAGCGGGAGCAAACCCAGAGGCATCATCGCAGCGAAGTCCTCGGGAGTGGACCACCCGCAGTGGACCAGTGGACCACTGGTCCAGGGGGCCCCCCGGGGGCCCCTGAGGGCCCCTGGGGGGCCCCCAGGCGCTGGTCAGTTTCAACTTGTTGGCGCCGAGAGAAAGAAAGCCGAGAAGGTCTTCTTGGCTGCTTTGCTGTCGTGGGAAAACAAAACTTGAAAGAATTCGCAACTTTTGTCTTTTGTTTTCGCGGATTTGATCAGAGTTTCTGAAAAAGAAGGACTGAAGGTGAAGCAGTTGTTAGCCAACTGCCTCTTTTCCTCTTTTCCGAATCGGGAAATGGCCTTTTGCAAAAAGGCCTTTTCTTCTTCTGCTTTCAAAACCAGGAAAACGCATTTTTAAAAGATCCTCTTCTAATTCAAAAGATCCTTTTCATTCCGAAAGATCCTTTTCTGATACAAAGGATCCCTTTCATTTCAAAAGATCTTTTTTTCTGGTTTTGAATTTGAAGATATCTTTCCGAAGATCTTTTTCTTCAGTTCACATCGGCGCCACTTCTACGAAAACTTTGAGGGTGTCCGCCTCGGGCTTGAGATCTTCGAGTTTGCAAAATGAATTTGCAGCCTGAAGAGAAATAAAGCCAAAAGTAAATTAAAAATTAAACAAATTGAAAGGAAAGTTGGTGAGTTTAAACAGAAGCTGCTGCCAACTTGGAAAACGGCGAAGACGGAAACTTGAAAAGAGCTGCAAAGGCAAACGAGGCTTTCGCTGCTCCGATTCACGAAAGCAGCGCCAAAAGAAGCAACAAAAAGACAAATGCAAACAACTCAAGTCTTTAAAGAACATTTGCAAACAAAAGCCTTTTCAACGGACTCTTTAATTGGCTAAATAAGTGAAGAGTTCTCGTGAGTGCACTTCATTGGGGTGTACATACACCCCGGCGCCGCTACAAGGCGACTGCGTCGAAGACCATGCGCGTTCTACTTTTATGTTCCAGATTATTATTTGAATTTAGTTTTTGATTTAATTTTTATTTAATTATTCATTTATTTTCTTGTTGTTCACCCGGAAATACTCTGCGCTGCGGTATCTGAAGGGGCCCCTCGTGGTGCCGCCGACGGTGAGCAAAATGGGGTAAATGAGTTCGCGCCATGTTTCCACTTGTTGAAGTTGAAGAGAAACAAATCTGCAGCAGAAAAACAAATTAAATTAAAAATAATTCGTGTTTTAAAAGTAATTAATTTAAAAGATAAATTGTGATTCTTTAAAAAGTCAAAAACACTTTTCAAGCCGCCTTTCCAATTCGCTGCAGCACATGCCCACCCGCAGCCACGGAAGCAGCTGCTCAAATATTACAAATAATTATAAATTAAAAAGTTAACTCAAAGAAATAACCCATTCAGCAGCAGCAGCAGCGGCAATCAGCAGCAATGCGCTGCAGCCTCTGCTGCTGCGGCCATTGCTGCTACTGTTGTCCCTGCGGCTGCTGTTGCTGCTGCTGCTGCTGTTGCTGCTGCTGCTGCTGCTTACCCTGGCTTTGAAGACATGTTTCCCCAGGGGCTGAATTTGAGGCGAAAGTGGCGAAGGCCGGCGAAGGCGAATCGGCTGGTGACCAGAGCCGGCGAAGAAGAACTTCTTTCCCTCCAGAGTACTTTCTGGAAAAAAATAAATTAAAAAAGAATAAATAAACAACAAATAAATAACAAATAATAAATAATAAATAAACAGATAATAAATAGTTAATTAAATTCGTTAATTCCTTTTGTAGATCGGCTCTGCAGCTGAAGAAGTTGCAGAAGACTGCGGTGTATGTACAGTCTGCAGCTGAATCAATTGAGTGGATTGCGGTGTATGTACAGCTGGCGAATTGAACTAATAAACAGATTCAAGAATATGAAGAAGTTCTCGAATTAATCAAATAGATTTGAAAACATTTAAAGTTACCGAGTTAATAAAATAGATTCAAGAGTATGAACAAGTTGGTGAATAAAACAAATTAGAGAATATGAACAAGTAAATTAAAGAATATCAATAAATAAAATGAACTGAAGAATACCAAGAAGTTGGCAATAAACGAAGAGGCTTGCGGTGTATGTACAGACCCTGCGGAAGTCCCTGATGGTCCAGAGGGCGGAAAAGTCTCCGACGAAAAGACAGTCGGAAAAAGGCTTTTCGAGTCGGTGTTTTCTGTAGGCCGCGAGTTGGGAGGAAAAGGGGGCAAAAGGGGGTTTATTTGGCGGTTTTTTTCGATTTAGTCTGCAGAAATGGAAGTGAAATTGAAATTAAATCGAATTAAGTCCAAATTAAGTCCAAGTTGAACAAAAAAACACTTTTTTGCAAAAAACGAAAAAGATGCACTCACCCGAATCGCTGCAGCAGAACCCCGGGGTGCAGGAAGCTGCAGCCGCCGGCTCTCTGCGCCGAAACGCAATCAAACAAAAGGCAAATAACAATCAATTGAATTAAATAATTAAATAATTAAATAATAGTTAAATAATTAAACAGTTAAACAAGTAAATGATTAAATTGTTAAATAAAGTGCAACTTGAATTCAAAGTCTGCAGCGAGAGGGAAGCGCGGCAAAGAAAGCTGAAACGAACAGCTCAAGTTCGAAGACAAGACTTGTGCATTCAAGTCCGGGTCAAACTTGCGCAATTGAATGCAAGAAAGACCCACAGGAGTCTCAATTGTGTTGGAATTTGCATTTAAACTGAAAAGAAAAAAGAAAATGGCGAAGAGAAAGTGCAAAACGCAAGAAAACGCCATTATTCAACAAGTCCGTGCGGCTGTCTGCGGCGAAACGAAGCTGCAGCGCTACGATCCTCCATGTCGGGCCCGCAATTGAAGCATTTTGAATTCAAAAGGTGAAATAGATGAATAAAATTAATTCAATTATTTCGTCGAATTTCGAAAAGTCCTTTTCAAAGCCCCCAAATCGACCTGAATTCCAGTTTCCGCGCCCCTCAGCTCCCCAGCGGACATAGCGGCCTTTCAAACGCTTTCTTCGGATTCAATTCAAAATATTTGAAGTCCATTTTAAATTAAAACAATTCAAAATTCATTTCCTTCATTTAAAACCCTTTTTTGCCCGGGGCTTTCCAGTTGGGGGGCCCCTCGAGACGCTGGGGGCCCCCGGGACCCCCTGGTTTCACCGGGGCGAAATTGAAGCGTTTTGCGCTAATTGCGGAATAAATGCGAATTATTTGTTTTATTTTATTGTTTAAATGAATTATTTGCTTTTATTTTTTCATTTTATATCCGAAAAGCCTCAAATTTGGCCATTTGCGCATTTTTAAAGAAATGTCCTCATCGGTGGCTTGCTGCTGCTTTAGGCTGCTGCTGCTGCAGCAGCAGCCTCTGCTGCTGCTCACTCGCCTCTGCTGCTGCTTTAATTAATTTATTTATTTTGAATTAAAAACTTAAAATCATTTTATTAAAGAAACACAAATTTGCTTTTTCTTCTCAACTTTCCAGTTCAGTTTTTGCACACTTTGCTGCAGCCCTTCAACTCAGAGGAACACCGGCAGAAACCCTAAACCCTAAACCCTAAACCCTAAACCCCAAACTCTAAACCTTAAACCCTAAACCCTAAGCCGTAAACCCTATACCCTAAACCCTAAACGAGTCACTTTGTGTGGCTGCTGCAGCAGCAGATCCAGATTATGAGAGAGCCCAAAGCCTAGAAGCTGCAAGCCAGGCAAAAGCATTTTATTAAAATCTCAAGTTCTCAAAAAACAGCTCTGCAGCAAATCAATTTAAATGACTTTGCTGCTGCTCGACAGCAGCAGCAGCTGAGCAAAGAAATAAATCCAAATAGCAGCAAAAGTGGTCCACAAAATTCAGACCAGCAGCAGCAAAGGAAATGGGAGGTACACGGCCTCTTTTCCAGTGCACGTACACTCGAATTGCGTCTTTCTGGCTTTTGAAAAGTGGAAAATGCAGTTTAATTCTTTTCAAAGAATAATGCCGGCAATTGATGCATGCAGGCCCCAAAAGAGTAGAAGTAGAAGATATGAATCTTTTTTTAAAAATATTTTATTTAATTTGAGCAAATGCATGCAATTATATATCTTCTAAGTACAATCAACACCACAGATCATGAATTCTTTATGTGGCCGTATGTAACTGAAAAACGCGGATTTTGTGGGAATGCAGAAAAACATCATTTCAAATTAATAAAAGAAAAGTAAAACGTTTGACTTAAATAACTTCCTGCAGATTTGTCGAAAAGCTAATGAAACCTTTTTTTTCACGTTTCGGGTGTACATACACCCGGAGCATCTCGCAGCTTGCGCACCGGAAACAAATCGGAAACCGAAGGAAACTGGCGATTATATTTCGTCTTTCTGTTTATTTTTTTGCAGAGTTTATTTAAAATAAAAAATAAAAATATTTATTTGAATTATGTTCTTCTTTCTCCCGAGTTTTGCGGCGCTTGCCGCCCTTTGCAGCTTCGCGACGCCGACGGACTGCACGCGATTGAAGGCAAGAGTACTTACGACTGATCTTTGCATTGAAAAACGAATTTATTTATTTTATTTTGATTAATTTCAATTTATTTCAATTAATTTCAACTAATTTAATTAATTTGAATTAATTACGCCATTAAACTCTTGCAGCACAAGGTGGACTTGCAGGGAATTGGCGGCCTGGCGCTGCCGCCGTACCCGGTGATGTGCGTCTGGGCTTTTGGGCTGAAGTTCAAAAGCCCCAATTGCTGAACTTGAAATAAAAGGGCCTAATTTTGTCCAAATGCATGCAGAGCTGCATGCACGCATGCATGCATGCATGCCTGCATGCATTCACGCAGCTTTGCATGCATGAGCAGAGACTCGCGTTTTTCCCACTAAATGAGACACAGGGACCTCCACATACAAGAAAACAATGAAGACTTGGTGGAGTCCATGTTGCAAGAAGAAGAAGACAGAGCCTTGCGCAGGAGCCTGGGAGACCTACAGGAAGCTGCAGCCGGTGAGGCAACAGCAGCAGCAGCAGCAGCTGCAGCAGCAGCAGCAGCAGCGACTGATGTTCTTTGCTTGCAGCTGACACCAAGGCCATTCAAGACATCGGTAGGAAGCAGCAGCAAGTGCCTCTTGAGGACTTTCTCATTTTGCTGCTGCAGCAGCAGTGCAGCGCCAGCAGCTCAACTCCTTGGCAAAGGTGAATTCGAAATCTGGAAAAGACAAAAAAATAAAAATGAAAAAGACCAAAACTTGTGCAGATTGCAGAAGCCACAAAACAAAGAGAATGAACAAACAGCAGCTCGAGATAAATTTCTGAAAACTTTGAACGAAGTCCAAACGCGAGAACTTCTCAAAACATTTGAACGCAACTCCAAATTTAATTGGGGGCCCAGAACCCCCTGTTTATGCAAGCCCTTGCATGCATGCATGCAAATTTTGTTTGGCCGAATTGTCTTTTTTTTCTTTTTGACCTTCTCAATTTAGTTATTTGCCAGAGAGAGAACTGAGGCGAAGCTGCGACCCAATTATGCCCTTTGCGTTCTTTGCTGCTTTCGTTTTCGCCTCTTGCTGTCAAGTATTCAGCAACCGAATTCTTTTTTAGAAATCGCGACGCGCCCAGCATTAAAAACCTCAAAGTGCCTCATTATTTCCAAAAAATAAGAAGAAAGTAACGAAATAATGGCGGAGATCGTGCAAATATTCAACATAAACGTGCAGATCTTGAAATGATTGAAGTTTCTCTCTGCGCTCGCTGCTGCGCGTTTGAGGTGCACGTACACCCCAGATTGCTGGGGTGTATGCGCACGTTCAAGTTTCCGACCGGCTGCGCAGGCGTTGTTTGCAAAGGCCATTTTGGAGCGGAATTCTTCGTTTTTGAGTTTAAAATGTTTAATTTTTGGAAAGAAAATGCCTTTTTCGTTGTGTTTGGCGCATTTGTGCTTTCGGTTCCCGCCAGCTGCGCGGCGCCGCCCGGCGGCGCGCAGGCGCTGCAGCAGCTGACGGAGTTCCGCAAGAGCCACCGGAGAACTGTGGACGGGAGACTTTGCGCAGCAGCTTTCGTGCAAGATGATCAAACTTACACGGATTGCACTGCAGCAAAGGCCCCCAACGGGACTGCAGGTACTGCTTTCCAAAGTGCTGCTCGCGGGCAGCTCCAACTCCTGCTGCAGGCGGCGACTGGTGCTACGTGGAGGTGCAGCTGCTGGGCAAGGGCGCCTCGGACTGGAACTACTGCTTGCCCCCGATAAGCTACGGTAATTGGCACTCACCAGCAGCAGCAGCAACTGCTGCTGCTGCTGCTGCTGCTGCTGCAGCAGCAGCAGCAGGTGCAGCGGGAAGATCTCGTTTTTTCAGACAAAGTTCGAGTGAAGGCGCGGCAGGCCTTCGAAATGAAAGCAGCAGAAGCAGAAGCCATGGTGAGTTATTTGGAAAGAGAAAAGCAGCAGCAAAATGAAATATTGAATTTCAGATAAAGCGGCTGGACGGCAGCATATACCAGGCGGACTTGGCTGCGAAGAAGTGGGTTTAATTGTTTGTTTAACTTGCATTAAATTAAGTTATCTTAAATTGAATTAAATTAAATCAAATCAAATCAAATTAAATTAAAATGAATTAAATTCAAAAACTGCAGACTGGAGGCTCTTTGCGGCAAGCGGCACGAGGCCGCGGAGCAGCAGCTGGAGACAGCCCGAAATATCTTTTTGCGAAATCAAAACTGCCTCAAAAGACTTTCTGCTGCTGCAGCAAAAGCCCAAAACTTAAAAGAATTAATTAAAGACACTCGCGGCCAAGTGCAGCAGCAGCAAGCTGCTGCAGCGCAGCGGCCGGAGAACTGCCTGCGGGCTGCGGGGTAAGTTTGGGGATTTCGGAGGGTTTGGAATCAATTTTTGCCGATTTTAATCGATTTTGCATCAATTTTCGCCAATTTCAGTGCACTATGAATGAATTTTGAATTAAATTGCGCGAATTTGAATTAATTTGCACGAATTTGCGCGAATTTGAGTCGATTTGAGTTGAAATGGTTGTTTTCGCCTTCAAAACGCAGATACGAGGAGGACCCCCCGGCGGACGGGCTGCGGGGCGCGTACTTCGACAACTGCTGCTTCGAGGGGCCCCCCCGAATTCAGAAAATCGCCAAAGACGTAAACTTCTCCTTCAGCGGCTCGGGGCCCCTGGAGGGCCTCAAAGTGCACAACTATTCCATTCGTAAGTGCGCAGCTGAGGACTTCGCCAAATTTCGGAATTGCAGCTTTTGTTTCGCAGGCTGGGACGGCTTCGTTCAGATTCCGGAAACGGGGCACTACGTGTTCACCACAGGTGTTGCTGCTGCTCGCTTTCCGCTGGAAACTGCGATTAAGTTGAAATTTAGTCAATTTAAGTTGAATTTAATTGAATTTAATTGAATTTAATTGAATTTAAACTGCATTTCGACCGTTTGTTCGGCCCCCCGGACCAGAAACGGACAACGGCGCGCGGGTGTTTCTGAACGGACAGCCCGTGGTGGCGGACCGGATGCCACCGGGAAACCCCGCGGAAGCGAGTGGAAACAAAAGAGTTTCTTTGCTTTCCGCAGTTCAAAAAAGTGGAAAACACTTTTCTAATTCGCACAGCATTCGTTTAATTCGAAAGAAAAAGTACAAAATCCGCGTCGAGTTCGTCCACAACTCCCACTTTCTCGTCGACAACAGCGACCGCGGCTCCCTCAGGTCCGTCGGGGGAAACCGTTCAATTCAATTCAAATTCATTCAGATTTATGCAAATTTATTCAAATTTGCTCAAATTAATGCAATTTGGGTTCAAATTTTTTCAATTTTCGTCCGAAATTGGTTCAAAATTGAATTTTTGATGGTTTCCGCCGCAGGCTCATGTGGTCTTCCGAAGACTTCCCTCGAGAGGTGATCCCGTCGAAGTTCTTCTTCTCGACGGACCGGCCGCCCCCCTTGAAGGTGTCCAGGTGCAAATAAAAGATTTGAATTATTTGAAAAATTAGAATTGAAATTAATTCAAATTAATTCAATTGCGCACAGCCTGGACCCCGCGCTGTACGCGCTGTCGCTGCTGCTGGAGGGGGCCCCCGCCTTCGCAGACACCGCAGCTTTTGAACTGCATGCAGTTCCCCCGCACTTAAAAGGCCTCCGTTTTTTGCGTTCTCGAAGAAGTCCATCCGAGGCCTTAATGGAGTTTCATTTGAACTCCGCAGCAGCTCTTTTCGTGGCCCATCCGCAGCAGCAGCCCTTCCCGCTGGCCCCCTTCGAAGACTACCTCTGGAAAGCCCAGGACACGGAAGATCGCATTTTCATCGAAAAAACCAAAGACAACTCCCAACAAAGTTCTCGAGAAAGTGCTCAAGAAAGTCCCGAAGAAAAGACGCAAGAAGAGCCAAAAGAAGGTCCAGAAAGTCCCGAAAAAGAGCCGAAAGAAGGTCCAGAAAGTCCCGAAAAAGAGCCAAAAGAAGGTCCAGAAAGTCCCGAGAAAGAACCAGAAAAAAGCCCCGAGGAACACTTGACACTCCAAGTCAAAAGAATTGTGCACAGGGGAGGCCCCGTCTCCCTCAGCATTGCCCACAAGGGCGTTCCGTTTTTAGTTATTCTTGCGCCGCTGGAAGACGCTGCAGCAGCATGCGGTGAGTGCAGCACAGCAGCAGCAGCAGCAGCAGCAGCGAAGCGCGCGGGAACTAACGGTGTGCCTTGCAGGGGGCGAAGAAGTGAACTTGTCGCTGTCCGGCGGCCCGCACTTGCTGTCCTGCAGCTCCTCTTCGGAACTTTCTGCAGACTTTAACTGCAAAGCAGGACTTAGTGGAATTCATTTGGATGGCCCTGGAGGCATTTGGAAGTCCCGAAGTGGCAACGGTGAGGAGGCGTGCACTGCGCAGCGCGAGGTGTATGTACACCCCGCGAAATCGCAGGCAACGGGGAGTCGATCTCCCTCGAATTCGCCCAACCGGTGCAGCTGTGAGTTCATTTTTAATTCGAATTAATTTCTTTTCTTTTATTTTTGTTTTCAGCTCCAAGTTTCTCTTCATGCCGCCTTCAGATCCGCTCACCTGGCCCTCCGAGCTGACTCTGACTTTCGACGGTGGGCAGCTTCAAAAGTTGAATTTTGAATTTTTTGAATTTTCGAAAAACTTGAACACTTCGAAAACCCGAACTTTTGAAAACTTAAACTTTCGGACATCTTTTCGCAAACACAGAGAATGACTCGGAAGTCTTCTCCATTTTGCACTCCAACAAACTGGAACACCACGAGTACCTCTTGCCTGCGGCGAAGACCGTGACGAGGGCAAGTTGGCACTGAAATTTGCACAAGTCCGAACTTCAGTTTTTGTTTGCAGGTCCAAGTTGAAATAACGCAAATGTTTGTAAACGGCGGAGACAGCGGGGGCTCCTTCGAGTTCTGGGGAGTTCCCTGTTTGACAGCAGCAGCAGCAGCAGACGCGGCGCCTGCGGTGCTGGAGCTGGAGGTGAGGCAGCAGCAGCAGCAGCAGCAGCAGCAGCAGCCCATTCTCGCGCCCCCTGCTGCAGTGTCTAGACACCCTGGCCACCGCTCTCCAGGGCAAAGAGGCCCCCCCGGGCTCTCACTTTGTTGCACTTTGTGCTGCTGCTTGTCTCCAAGAGCCCCTGGGTCCCGTTTATGGAACAAAAGTGTTTGCGTTGGAGTCCTGCGTGTGCAGCGCGGCGCGCCACTCGGGTGTATGTACACCCGGAGCTGCATGCGCCTTCCTCCTCTCCCTGGGGGGCCCCCAGAAACAGTTTGCTGCTGCAGTTTCCAACGGAGTTGCTTCCATGGCCCACGGCCCTGCTGCTCTTTCTCTGGCCTTCTCCCACGCTGCATGCACTCACTCTTTGCTGCAGCAGCAGCAGCAGCAGAAGCTGCAGATACACTTCGGAGCCACTGGGGAACAGCCCCTGCCGCCGGTAAGCATTCTTTTTATTCATTTCTTTAATTTTAATATCTATTATTACATTTATATTACATTTATGTTATATTTATGTTTTATTATATTTATGTTATATTTATATTATATTTATATTATATTTATATTATATTTATATTGTGTTTATATTAAATTTAAATATTTGCCATTTTGCCTCTCGGGCCATTTCAGGGTTGGCTCCAAGACGAAGGGGGCCTAAAGAAGCGCCGGGGGAAGTTTTATTATGGTGAGGAAAAGTGGAAATGATAATTTAACTCGCCAACACCAAACCTGCTGCTGCTGCTGCTGCTGCTGCTGCTGCACAGGCTGGCTGAGAGAAGCAGCGGCGCCTCCGTGCAAAGAACCGCAGCACTTTCCCTCTCCGCTCAACAACGGGGGCCTCGTGCTTTCGCATACAGCAGCAGTGAGCGAAGCAGCAAACAAATTCGCAGCAAAAACTCACTCCCTGCTGCTGCTGCTGCTGCTGCTGCTGCTGTGCAGGCGGAGGCGGGGTCAGCAACAGCAGCAGCAGCAGCAGCAGCAGCAAACTTCTGGTCTCTGTCGGTCCCACTAAATGGCCGCTATCTTGTTGCTGCTGAGTTGGGAAATTGCTGCGGAGTGGAGGGCGCGGGCGGCGCTGCTGCTGCGAATTTGGAAGTCAATGGAATTCCTCTTGTGGAAAATTTGCAAATTCAAGAAAGGGGATTTTATGTCGTGAGTTGCTGCAGCTGCTGCAGCTGCTGCTGTTGCAGCAAAGGGCTTTGCTGCAGCTGCTTTGGGTCTCTATTTGCTGCCCCACGCAGGCCAGTGTCTTCGTGGAAGTCAAGGAAAAAATCATTTTGCTAACTGCTGCATGCGAAGGCGAAAAGTGCAGCAAAGCCCTCACCACTCTTTTCAACTTGGTGGTTCAAAAACTCTGAACAAACCCTAAACCCTAAACCCTAAACCCTAAACCCTAAAAGGCCCTGGGGCGTTTGTTGAAGCCCTGGGCTCGCTGGAGGGAAGCCGCAGAAGCGGCCCTTTCGGGTGTACAGACAGCTCGGCTGTTCATTTCGAAACTTGTTGGCGATTTCATTTCAATAAAAATAAATTTTATTTTCCTTTCCTTGAACTAAATCCAACTTAAAAGAACAAGAAGAAACAAAAGAAAAAATAAATCCTTCTCACTCCACTCTTCCATTAATGCAAATTTCCACGTTTTGTTTCGCGTTCCCAAGAGGTGTCCATACACCCGAACACCGCTGCGAAGTTCCCCCTTTAGCCTTTCGCCTCCATTTTATTTTTTGAATTTTTTAATTTTGAATTTAAAATAAGCGCTTTCATTTCTCCATAAGGGCAGCAGCAGAGGAAGAAGTTTGAAAAGCTCTAAATGGAGAGAAATGGCGCTGCAGCAGCTCTTAACGAAGCAGCAGCAGCAGCGGGCAGCTTGCAGCGAGGTGCAACTTGCTAGTGCAGCAACACAGCAGCAGCAGCAGCAGCAGCAAAGTTCGGAGCAAACGGAAACCCGCTATGAAATATCTAAAGTGGAGGAATGGGAAGTGTCCAATTAAGAATTCAGCAGCAGCAGAGAAGAGGGAAAGAATTCGTTTTGGATTTAAAATGGATTTCGAGTTTGCTGCAGACGAAAGACAAAGTGGAGTCTGTAGCAATTCAAGTTTGCGTTTTTGCTGCTGCAGCGGCCCGCAGCGCGGAGTGTGTTGTGTCTTAGAGAGTCTGTGGAGAAGAATTAGAAATGAATTTAGTTTTAAAAGTTTCAGAAACCAAAAGAAGTGAATTTGAGGAGAGTTTCCCTTCGCGGCTGCTGCTGCAGACCGCAGGATCGCCGGGTGTACAGACTCCCGCGGCAGCAGCAGCAGCAGCAGCAGCAGCAGCAAACTGCGCGCGGAGAAGAATAAAAAGTGCAGCGAAGGGGCGAAGGCGGAGAAAGTGGAGCTGGCGGGGTGTATGGACAGCTGGCGGGGGCGACAGGGGGGGCCAAGCAGCAGCCGCGGCTGCATGTGCGCAGCTGGAGTTTCCGTCTCTGGGGAAAAAAGGAAAAGTGGAGAATTGAATTTGCTGCAAGTTTGTCTTTTTTGAATCTGAAATAAAGAAAAAGGGGCTGGGGTTTCGCGCGCGAACCGCGGGGTGTACATACACCTCAGCTTCAGCTCCGCCGCCCGCAGCGGCCGCCCGCAACCACTTCTGCTGCACCACTTTGCTTCCAAGTTCCAGACTTCTTTTGTCTTTTTCTTTTCTCCAATTTGCTTTTTGCGGCTGCCCAAACACTCCCGGCAGCAGGCCCGGCCTCGCTTCCCTCCTCGCGCCAGCGGGAGCCGCTGCTGGCGCTGCTGCTGCTGCTCCCGCTGCCGCTGCTGCTGCTGCTGCTGCTGCTGCTGCTGCTGCTGAGCCCCTTCGCGTTTCCCGGGCCTCGGAAAGCCCCACAACTCGCGGGAAGCGGGACTTCGCTTCGGGCGACGAGGAGCTGCGGGCCGCCCCTGCGGTGTACGTACAGTGCAGCGCCTGCGCCTTTGCGCGCCACTCGGTGTGCGCCTCGACACTCCCGACTCCCCGACTTGCTGCTGCGCCTCTCCCGCTCCCGCTGCTGCTGCCGCTGCCGCTGCCGCTGCTGCCGCTGCTGCCGCTGCTGCCGCTGCTGCTGCTGCTGCTGCTGGGGGTGCATGGGCTGGCTTTCGGCCCGTGTGTGCCGCTGCCCGCAGGCCGCAGCCCCCGCGGTGCTGCTGGGGGCCTCCGGAGCCGCGGCGGCGAGGAAGAAGAAGAAAAGGAAAGATGGCGATGAACGCGTTTCGGTTCGCGGGGGACGTGCTGCACCTGCTGTCGATAGCGCTGGTGCTGCTGAAGCTGCGGCGCAGCAAGAACTGCATCGGGATATCGTGCCGCATGCAGGAGATGTACTTGGTGGTGTTTTGCGCGCGGTACGTGGACCTGCTGTACAGTTTCATTTCCATTTACAACTCCACAATGAAGGTGCTCTTCATCGCCTCCACGGCGTACACGATTTACCTGATTCGCTTCAAACCCCCGATATCGCAGACCTACAAAAGGGCCCGCGCAGACAACTTCCCGCACGAGCGCTACTTGCTGCTGCCGTGTCTGCTGCTGGCGCTGCTGACCACGGAGAACTACGCCGTGTCCGAAGTGCTGTGGACCTTCAGCATCTGGCTGGAGGCCGTGGCCATCGTGCCGCAGCTGCTGCTGCTGCAGCAGCTGCGCGAAGTCGAAAACCTCACCGGCAACTACGTGGCCTGCCTGGGGCTCTACAGGTTCATGTACATCCTCAACTGGGTCTACAGGTACTTCGCGGAGCCCGTGCCGTACGTCAACTACGTGGGCTGGATCGCGGGCTTCATTCAAACGGCGCTTTACCTCGACTTTTTCTTCTACTACGCCGTCGCCAAGTGGTACGGCGAGAAGCTCGTGCTGCCCGTCCACACGGAGGTTTAGCCGCGCCGCGGGTCCGCAGCAGCTGCAGCAGCTGCAGCAGCTGCAGCGGCTGCAGCAGCTGCAGCAGCGGCGGCAGCAGCTGCAGCAGCGGCGGCAGCAGCTGCAGCAGCGGCGGCAGCAGCTGCAGCAGCGGCGGCAGCAGCTGCAGCAGCGGCGGCAGCAGCTGCAGCAGCGGCGGCAGCAGCTGCGGCAGCGGCAGCAGCGGCAGCAGCGGGGCGCTCGCGAAACGCCGGGAAAGCGCAGCTCCGGGACGGAGTCGACGCGAAACTGCCTCCACTTCTTCAGTTCGAAGCGCACTGCGGACAAATTCAACCCAAAAGTGGACAGTTCCACGCAGATCCGGACAGTTCCACTCCGACGCGCAGCGCCGCGCGCCACTCCAAGATCGACGAGATTCCCTTCAACTTCGACGCGACTCGACTTCCAAGCCTAATCCATTCACAGGCCAGCCAACTCGGCCCAAGTTCAACTCAAATCCATTCAAATTCAACTCAAATCCATTCAAATTCAACTCGAATCCGTTCAAATTCGACTTGAATCCGTTCAAATTCGACTCAAATCCATTCAAATTCAACTCAAATCCATTCAAATTCAACTTGAATCCGTTCAAATTCAACTCAAACCCATTCAAATTCAACTTGAATCCGTTCAAATTCAACTCAAATCCATTCAAATTCGACGGAATTCAACTCAAATTCAACTGAGTTCAACTCCAGTTCGAATTCAAAGCGGATGGCGTTCAAAGTTTAGGAAAAGTCCATTCAAATTCACATTCAATTCAAGTTTCAAATTGCCCTCCGCTTTTTCGGTGAAGTCGGTCGCGCTGTGGCGGCCGAACACTCAGCGGCTTTTCGTGAATTCGGAAACCAGGTTCTGCGTAAAGGCGGAAAGTTGGTGGAAATGAATCATTTTGAGTGGATATAAACCGTTTTCGAATGGAAATGAATCATTTTTGAGTGGAAATGGATCATTGTGGACGGAAATAAATCATCTTCGGGTGGGAATGGATCCTTTTTGGGCATTCAAGTTGAAAGAAAACGGCGCGTGGAGCTTCTGAGTGGTTTCGGCCAGGAAGAGGCGAAGTTGGAGTTCAAAAAAGGCTTTTTGGAAGAAGTTGAATTTGTGAATTCAGGAGTGAGACAATTGATGAAATGGTGGACGAAAAAAGGGGAAAATGAATTTAAATAAATCTCAAAACAAACTAATTCAAATGTTCTTGAATGAGATCGCACACGAAATTGCAAGTTCATGAACGCACGGATGAGGTGACATGAAAGTCAAATTCATGAATTTTTAACGAAATAAACGATGAGGAATCTGCAAATAAACTAATTCATGAATTTCAGAATGGGGTTATATGCAAATAAATAAAATAAGTGAAATAACTCGAGATTTCATGAAAGTTGAATTTTGAATTTGCAGTTTCACGAGTGAGCGCATTTGTGAAAATATGAATTCGAAATTCTTGCACGGGATCGGAAGTGAATTAATTCAAGAGATGAAATCATTAACTGGCGAATTAATTCGAAAACAAATCCAAATAAATAAATAATTAACTAATTCATGAGTGGCATCATAAAGAATGAATTAATTCGGGAGTGCAGTCTTCAATGAATAATGAATAGTTGAATTCAAGAGCGGCAAGTGAATGAATTCATTTATGAACGAGATCACCAATGAAAGGATCCGTGAGAGGCCTCAGGAATGAATTAGTTCAAAAATAAAATCCCAAATGAATTAATTAATTCAAAACTAATTAATTTGTGAGTTCAAGTTGAACTTGAATTCATGAATTCGAGAGTGGCGGCTGCTGCGGGAAGCGAAGACTGGAGAGAAACGCGACGCGTCGGGTTTATTTGAATTGGAATCTGTTCAAATAAAACATTTATTAAACAACATTTATTAAAATAAATTAAAATAATTATTCATCCCAGTAAAGCATGCATTCAAAGGAATCGATGAACCGTCGCCTTTGTCACGGGCGCTAGCAGCACAGCAGCAGCAGAGCAGCAGCAGCTGCAGCAGCAGCAGCCGCAGTCCACGCCCAGACTCGCCGCATGCTTTCGCTTTCATTTCTTCTTTTCTGCATTCTTTCTGTCTCGCCGAACTTGAGGGCACAACAAGAGTTCTGAAAAGATGCATGCGGGTTTCCGCGGTTGGAAGTTGCATGTACACCTGAATACATGCATGCATGCATGCAAAGTCCCGGTTCGTGAAGCAAAATTCAATTCCAATTATTTCCTGCTTTCCACTTTTCTTTACATGCATTTTATGCCCCCCTCGGCGAGCCAGATGGACCAAAAAGCAAAAAAAGGAAATTGCGGGGTCCCCAACTGCTGCCCAAAAGGTGGGGCTGCAGGCCGTGCATGCATGCAGTTTGCATGCATGCAAACTGCATGCATGCATGCATTTC